TCTTCTCTTCTCTTCTCTTCTCTTCTCTTCTCTTCTCTTCTCTTCTCCCTTTCTCCACTTTGTATCTTGTACCAAACAACACACATGCCGTATCCAGGGTACCACTTAATAAACAGCACTGTTAACAAACATGGATGCTGCTGTTGTTATTAAATTACCTGCCTAAGTGGCAGAAAAGCCAATGTGATGAAGGCTTTCAAGTGAGCACTTGAAACATTTAACATAGATTCTGACAGTCTTTTGGTTGTCCCAACACAATAGTTCCTCATTGCTCTCTATCTAACTCATAGCCTCTTTTTTAATTGTTCTATGCATATATATATATATATACATATATATCCCTAAATATAGCCTGTTCAATTTTTTTGGAAGATAAGTTTGTAATTATATTAATGCACAGAAAACTTATCTGTACTTTTAACCCAGTTTAGTGGCGAGTTCTTGTTGGCAATTTGAGCCACAGATTTAGGACCCAGGACGCTGCCTCCCCAGGGGCAGAGGGTCTCATCGTATCTGTCGTTGTAATTGGTCCTAATAGCTCCCACCAGCTTAGGCAGAGCACCCTTGTCTTCTCACCTAACCTGTCTTAGACAACAGTGGTGCACGTCTTCCTGTGGACCAGCCGCCCCAGCCTGGCCTTTCCCTTGATGATGCAGCAGGGAATCCCCATCTTCCCACACAGGGCAGGCAGGAAGACCGCCAGCTCAGTGAGGTCTACACCAGCTGAGCCTTCCTGTTCTCCACCAAGGTGGTGGCTGTATTGACAGGGGTCTCTTAGCTGGGACATCCCCTTTGCCAGCAGCTTTCTTCTCAGCACGGGCCAGGAGCCGTTGCTTCTTCTCCTGCTTTGTCTGTGACCTGTAGTCGTGTGCAAGCTTAAGGAGCTGGGTAGCTGTCGGCCGGGCCAGGGCCTGGGGGAACTGGTTAATGGCAGGAGGTACTTTGAGCCGCTTATAGAGGATGGCCCTCTGCCGCCGCAGCCTAATGTGGTGGGGTCATTTGACGAAGCGTGTGAGATCTCTTTTGGGCTGGATATCCTGCCCAGCACCAAAATCCTTAGGCCTTTTCTCAAACAAAGGATTCACCACTTTTCTGGCCTTCTGTCTCTTTATGATGGCGGAAGCCAGGGCCACCTTTTCCCCCCTTGGTCTTCTTTCCCTTGGGCACCTTCTTAGCTGGAGGCGAGAGTAGCCTGTTCAATTTGTATAATGTTAGTTGTATATATGTTTTCTGGGCTGACAGTTTGGTATAGGACAACCTATTGGTGTGCTCTTCCCTGGGGAAGACTATTTCTCCCACTCAGCATTCCTTAGTTATCTGTAGTTCTTTATGTAGGGTTGGGAGCTCATGGTCTTTTCTCATCCACTTCAGTCTATCTATTGTTGCTGTCCTTGGTCAGCTCATGATTAGGCCATCATGCTGGTGAAATTTTCCAGTTGTAGCTTTTGCTGTTCCTAGGAGACACAATCTCAGAGAAAACACATAGATTCTCTGCCTTTACAGTCGTCCCACCATGCCTTTCTCAATGTTCCCTTAGCCTTAGGTGTGGGCATGGATCAGGCTCCACAACTCTGCATTTTGATTGGTTGTGGTTTTCTGTTCTGGTCTCTGTCTGTCACAAAGTGAAGTTTCCTTGATGAAGGGCGAATACCACACTTATCTATGGGTATCAGAAAAGTATATTTAGCTGGACAGTGGTGGCACACACCTGTAATCCCAGCACTCGGGAGGCAGAGGCAGGCAGATCTCTGTGAGATCGAGGCCAGCCTGGTCTACAAGAGCAAGTTCTAGGACATGCTCCAAAGCTACAGAGAAACTCTGTCTTGAAAAAAAAAAATAAATATTTAGAATTTACTTAGAGATTATGTCGTTTTAGTAAAGCGACTGTACATTTTCCTCCAACGTCCATGACTTTACTGGCCCTGGGTACTTGGCTCAGTTCCTAGCACTAGGAATGATTTTCCTCTTAAGTGAGCCTTAATTCCGATCAGTCCTGCCAAGGCACGAATGTTTCTACTGAACCTTTACTGTTACTGTGCCATGCTGGTCATTGATATGCTCATAGGAATCATAGAAGAACTGTTGGTTGCTTCCCTCATTTGGAATCTAGCATGGCGTCTTTTGATTCCATGGAAGCCAGTTCTTACAGTAGAGGAAGTGCTCTCTGGGGTAATATGGCCAGCAGCTTCTGTTGGGAGGAGTTCTGCTCCTTTTCAATGGAATGCTTTACCTGTACACGAGATGTGGAATTCTGAGGATTATTTTTATTAATACGACTGCAGTGCCATCAAAAAGCCTGTGAGAGCATTCTTATTGAAACCTCTAGTAATTTGAATGTAATTGATGCCTAAAAATCTCATAGGGAGAGGTATTATTAGGAGGTGAGGTCTTGTTGGAGTAGGCGTGGTTTTGGAGTAAGTGTCTTACTGTGGAGGCGGGCTTTGAGGTCTCATATATGCTCAAGATATCACTCAGTGTCTCAGTACACTTCCTGTTGCCTTCTGATCAAGATCTAGCCAGCACCATGTCTGCCTGCATGCCTTACTCCCTACCATGACAATAATAGACTAAACCTCTGAACTGTAAGCCGCCACCTCAATTAACTGTTTTCCTTTATAGAAGTTGCCGTGGTCACCGTGTCTCTTTACAGCAGTAGAAATCCTAACTAAGACAAAACCAATAACAAAATGTATTTTTCTTTGATGCTGTTTTTTGATACAGGGTCTCTTTGTGTAGCCCAGGTTGCCCTTGAGCCAGGAGCTCCGGGCTGCCTCCACCCTGAGCTGCTCTTCACCCCACCTCCTGAGAGCTGGGACTAAAAGCATATGCTACCACATCTGGCCGAAAGTTACTTTTAAAAGATGAAAAATGGGTCTATACAGTATTTAGAAGATTTCACTGAGGTCTAAGATTTAGTGTGAAAAATATTCAGTCCTATTTCCTTGTGTGTTTCTTTGCGGGGAGGAGGCATTCCCTTTCTGTGTAAAGGCCTAAGCATTTCTGTGCTCTTCAGCAAGACTCCAGAGAGAAAAGAGAAAATATAATGGCATTCAATGATGTGAATTTATAGATATTAGTGGGTAGCATATTGATAATACATCTTATATTTAGCCAGGTGTGGTGGCATACATCTTTAACCCCAGTTCTCCGAGAGGCAGAGGGAAGCAGATCTTTGTGAGATTAAGGCGATCCTGGTCTTCACAGTGTGACCCTGTCTCCAAATGACTGAATACTCTCCATGACAGCAAAAAGTATTTTAAAGGATTTTTTTTTTGGTAAAAAAATAAGTACTGAAAATAAAAATGAAAACTAAATTCCTTTGGATTTCAGTTGGTACTCATTAAATATCTAATTCATTTCAATTCTAGACATTAGCAAGGATAAAGCAGGAAACAAGAGAGAAAGAAGGCGTGGTGAAAGAAAAGATCAAGTTTCTGGAAAACGAGGTTGGGAACAACGTAGAATATGAGCGAAGAATTTCTGTTGCCGAGCGTAAAGTTTTAAAATGCAGGATAGAGCTTCAGCGACAGGAAGCCAGCAGGAGCCAACTGAAGGACGAGGTGCGCCCCCAAAACCCTGGTTGTTGATGGCAAAGGGTTCTTTGGTTACGGAGTGACCTGCTGGCTCTTTTCCTTAAATCTTTGTGTGTGTGTGTGTGTGTGTGTTTGTGTGTGCATGTATTTTTCTTTTCTTCTTTTCTTTTCTTCCTATTTTGACAAGACTTCACTATGGCCTGGCTGACCTGAAATTTGCTATATAGACCAAGCTGGCCAGGAAATTAGAGTTCTACCTGCCCGCCTCTGCCTCCCATGTAATGAAAGTAAATGCATGTACCACCACAGTGCATTTATGCCCCTATCATGGGACTTCAGGGTACTTTGTCTGAGCCCTTGTACGGTGAGGCCACAGGGGGTGCCCTAAACCTCAGGTCCCGCACAGGATCCCTGCTGAACACTGCCAGTGCTCTTTGGAGATCTAGTGTCTGTGAGATGTGAGCTGATGCTTCTAATGATCCACACAGGGATCACGATGACTGGGCGTGTACGAGGAGCGTTGCTGGGGAATGTCTTACCCATGTCGGGCATGTGTGACATTTGTGTCAGTGTCTGCCAGTGACCTGCTGGAGTTGTTTTCCATTTTGTTAAGGGACGGTATTTCAGTCTGACCACAGGAGCAGCGATGAATGGCCCTGATGCAGAGAGAGCAGAACTCCTGTCCTTGGCTTCCTTTGCAGGTTCCGGAACAGCGGGACTAGCATATGCACGAGTTAATGATCCCTTCTTCAGCAACGAAAGGGCCATCTTAACATTTCTGTTTTGAGTCCCTGCTACCTAAAGCTGCCACTACTTAGGCAAAAAGCAGACTATTATAAACCATATTATTATACAGTATATTGTACTTTCCTCTCAGATAGTTTTTTCTGCCAAAGAGCTAATTTATGTAAGTTCCTAAAGAAGGTAATTTCTATGTATGTTAGATGTCACCGAGAGCTCGAGAGCTGGAGCCATTGTAGGCAAGTGGACAGAGGCAGGCATCCTTCTTTGTAACATGAGGGCCAGCTTGTTGGGGTTTCTGTCCCGCCCAGTACCCCAACAAGCCAGCAAGTCCCAAGGAAAATCACACGGAGTCTACATCAGGTTATAAACTGATTGGCTCATTAGGTCAGGCTTCTTGTTAACTCTTATAACATATATTAACCCATTATTCTCATCTATGTTAGCCATAATGGCTCCGTACCTTTCTCTGCTGGGCAAGTTACATGCTGTCTCTTCGGTGGTCTGTACAGGAATGGCAAGGGAGGTTCTGCTTCCAGAATACTCCCAGTCTCTTTGCTCCACCCCTACTTCCTGTCTGGCTTTCCTGCCTATACTGCCTGCCTGGCCAATCAGCGTTTTATTAAAATATGATTGACAGAATACATATAATTCTCCCACACCATTTCCCTCTTTTTTTTTTTTTAAACAAAGGAAAATACCCATAGTCCATTTGTTGGGAATGTGGGCGTAGTATTTCAGGCTACTTCCTGCTGGTTGGGGGCACTGATGATCTTATGGGGACCTAAAGAAAATTTAGAGTTATAATCAAGTCCTGACTGGAGTAGCCTGTGAGTCTTGATCATCTCAGGCAGCAGTCTTGAATCTGTTCTGGATGTAGAATTCAGACATCTGGGCCATCTGTTCCTGTTGGAGATTTCTCAGGTGGCCTCCCTTGATCAAAGCTGATTTTTCTTAACTCAGAATGAATCCATAGCCTCTCATTTTCTGTGGAAACAAAAGCAAAATCTCTTCCCCAAAGTAACATACCTTTTGACTTCAGTTTTGAAGCCAAGGTATTTTCAAAATACCTATCTTGGATTAATTCTGCAGCATTTATAAGCAAATATCTTTTAGCAACTGTTGCTCCTTCCTCAGCATTCAAACAATTCAAAGAGAACATAATAGTATACAGAATCAAGATTCTCTGTGTATTTTCCATCTTTATGTGGCTTTACTTTAACCTCTATTTCTTATATTTTTACTTTTACTTTTTGAGACAGGTTCTCTTTATATCTTAGTCCTGGAATAACTCTGTAGATCAGGCTGTCCTTGAACTCACAAAGATCCTTCTGTCTCTGCCTCCCCAGTACTGGGCTCAAAGGTGTTTGCTACCACACCTTGAACTCACAGAGATCTGTCTCTGCCTCCCAGGCATTGGGATTAAAGGCGTGTACTACCACACCTTGAGGTCACAGAGGTCAATCTACCTCTACCCCTTGAAGTCACAGAGGTCAATATGCCTCTGCCTCCCAGGCATTGGGATTAAAGGTGTGTACCACCACACCCAACTACTCTCTTTCTTTCCTTTTAACTTTAAGAACTTTAACTTTTAGCCTGCATATACACACTGTAAACCATTTAGAGGTTTTCTTCCTCTTTGAATCTCTCTTTACTGTATATTTTTCTTTTTCTGACCACATGAGCCATTAATTTACTAAGCAATATGGAGAGCTGTGGCTTTGACAGCTAGATCCAGCTCATTCCTTAGCATTTCAGCCTCAAGGCTGAGGTACCAGCCAGAGCTGTGTTCACTGCCACAACTCTATGGCGTTTCAAAGTCCTTGCCAGCAAGCAAGCTGCAGCATTCTGCTCACAGACCACACTCAGTCGGACTGCCTGCCTGAAAGAGTCAGAGTTTGCTCTGGCAGGACAGCCCAGAAAGCCGGCATTTTAAAACAGCACAGCTTTTTTCCTGCTACGACTGAAAACCGAAAAGCATGTGTTCAGCTTTTCACCAACAGCATTTAAGTGTTTCGTGGCAGGACCTCTTAATGAGCTGCAAGGTTTTGCAGTTAAGGCTGAGTCAGGAAGCCTCTCTTAGAGGAGAGCCTTGCTTGCCTCTAGCAAGCAAAGTAGACCCGAGAAATTGCTGCTACCAACAAAACATGCTTTACTCTATTCTTTTTCAAGCTTTCTGTGGATTCAGTTATCCACGTCTGGGCGCCATATGTAACATGAGGGCCAGCTTGTTGGGGTTTCTGTCCCGCCCAGTACCCCAACAAGCCAGCAAGTCCCAAGGAAAATCACACGGAGTCTACATCAGGTTATAAACTGATTGGCTCATTAGGTCAGGCTTCTTGTTAACTCTTATAACATATATTAACCCATTATTCTCATCTATGTTAGCCATAATGGCTCCGTACCTTTCTCTGCTGGGCAAGTTACATGCTGTCTCTTCGGTGGTCTGTACAGGAATGGCAAGGGAGGTTCTGCTTCCAGAATACTCCCAGTCTCTTTGCTCCACCCCTACTTCCTGTCTGGCTTTCCTGCCTATACTGCCTGCCTGGCCAATCAGCGTTTTATTAAAATATGATTGACAGAATACATATAATTCTCCCACACCACTTCTTCCTGACTCACTGAGGTGTAATTCCCAGAGACCCACCCATCCTTCACATATTACAAACGAGTGGCTTTCGGGACGTTTGCATAGCTGTGGGACTAGTCCCTGCTGGCTAACTGTAGAGCTGTTTCCATTTCTAGCATGTTTTTTGTTACCCCCTATAGCTTTAGGTTGTTGGTCACTTTTTCTTCTTCCTTCTTTTGGCCTGACACCTGACATTGCCGATCAACTTCCTGTCACTCTAGACTGGCCTCTTCCGCGTCTCTCATAGAGTGGGATCGTGCAGTATGTCACTCATGTCTTTGGCCGTGTTTTCAGGACATCATCCTTTCTGTGTAGAATTTATCCCACCGTGTGGCTATACCTCATAGTTCTCTCAGCAGCTGGTGACTGCCGCTATTTCCAGTGTTAGCATGATAGTTGTCTTTTTGTGTCTGATTTTATGTAGTATACATTCAGGGTTTGTTGCTATTGTTGCACATGACAGGATTTCTTTCTTTTTAAAGGTGGAAAATATTTTACCCTATCCCCTTCCCCCACATGCCACTTTATCCATTCATCTGTTTAGAAAACGCTTAGGGGGTTTGCCTGTCCTGGCTATCCTGAGTAATATTGTCAGGAATGTGGAGTCTAGATATCTCTTTAACATAGTTTTTATTTGTACTTAGGAGTGGGTGTTCTGGAACGTCTGGTGGTTCTGTTTTTCTATCCTAAGGAATTCTCTTAGGAGAATTGACTAACGACCCTGTCTTTGTGTGGCAAATGGAACATCACAGCCTGCTGATGCTGGCCTGTGTTCCCCTGGGCTCAGTGGTGCTCACTGTCTTTATGGACCTGTTGCTTGTTGATGCTTTCTTAGGGAAGATGCCTGTTCGGGACATTTGCCCACTTGAAACTGTCATGCTTTCACGGCCGTTGGGTGGCTTGGGTTGCTGGTGTGCTTGGAGATGAGCCCTTTATCAGTTGTGGCTTGGGGGTGTTGTGCAGGGCATCTGTGCATTGTGCTGCTGTCCTGAGTTGGCAGAAGAGTTTCAGGTGGTGATTTTGCTTGCGTGGCCCACCCTTTCGGCACAGAGCTTCCTGTCTTTACTCCTAGCAGTTCTAAAGTGGCAGACCTGCCTCGAGGCTTTCCACACTGAGTTGATTCTGTATACAGTAAGAGAAATATGTATTATTCTTTGTATTTATTAATTATTGTTTATATTAAATAATACATGCTAGTACCTTGAACGTTTCTGGATGGGGCTTTCACTGTTGGGGACTTGCAGGTAGTCAGCTGATGGGTGCAGGCGTGTGGCTTTGGTTCTGACCTCTGCTCTCTTCTGTTGGCTCATGTGTCTGTGGCCAGGGTCTGTTCTGACTGCTATGGCTGGAAAGGAGGTGTGACTACTCCAGCTTTAGTTTTCTTTCTCAAGATTGTTCTAGGTTGTTTATTCTCTTATTCTGTAGACCCTTATGAGTTTTAAGGTTGTTTTATTATCATTTTATGTGATGGAAGAATTTATTCACTGCTGGTGAGAAGGGGGAACTTATATTACCACTATGGGTGTCAGCAAAGAGTTTCCAAGAAAACTAGTTATTGAATTACTGTGTGTAATTCAGGACATACTCAGGAGAGACATCACACACACACGCACGCCGTGGAAGATGGTTACAGTGAGGAGGAGGATGTGTTGAATCTTGAGGTCTTCCACCTCCGTGTGTGTGTGTGTGATGTGTCTCCTGAGTATATCTTCGATTTTGTGTTTGAAGAAATTTAGATTAACAGTCAAATGTGTGTCACTGGGAGTATGGTATGAAATGTCACTGTAGGATGCGTGTGAAGAATGGGTCATGGAGGATGAGTGTGAGGTGTGTATCATGGAGTAATATGAGCGTGAGGTGTGTGTTACTGGAGGATGAGTGTGAGGTGTGTGTCATGGAGGATGAGCGTGAAGTGTGTGCCATGGAGGATGAGTGTGAGGTGTGTGTCATGGAGGATGGTGTGAGGTGTGCGTCATGGAGGA